CCGGTGCTAGTCCCGCCATCTTGGAAATATCTTAAAACAAATGGCGCTGCAAGAACTTGACAAGGTCCTGAGTATTGAGTCCTACGCCGAGGTTACAAATAGAAACGGAGATGATAACGAGCAGGACCCCTTAAAATCATGCCACTGAACGGTATTTAAAAGAAAAAAAACGTACTATCCACTGGGCATCGTGCACTCGAGGGAGTTTCACAACTCAAAAGAAATCGATCGCAGAATTACACAGGATGCATCTTCAAATTCCTTCTCCAAAGACAATGAAAGTCTCAGCCTCGACCACAAAAGAAAGGAAGGCCTTCCATCATTGATTCAGGCGATGGGAACTGAACTTTTGTGCCTAAAGTAGACTAGTTTCGTTCTGATTTCAGAACTGCTTGTTTCTCTGTCATGCTCGAATGAGTTTTCGTCACATGACATCGTTTTGCATACTAAATGAGACGTAAAGGCGTTTCCGGTTCCGCTTTTTTTAACAAACCAGCTACTGTGACCAAAAATCTAAAATTTAAGGCGATAAAATCATGTGATTTCAAAATGGATCTAATAAAGTGGCAATTGAACTGAGTGGAGTGCAATTTTGGTCGAAAGTCATACTTGTGATTTCAGACCAAATTGCACTCCACTCAGTTCAATTACCATTATGAATGCGAGTGCAATTAAGAATTTACATTACGTGTGATTTTTGATAATTCTTCCAAATTTCAAATTTTGAGATAATTTACAAATATCACTCGTAATGTAAATCCTTAAGAGCACCTGCCTTCCGGCGACAGGACCAAATTAAAAGTTCGAATTTTTCTTTACCTGTGTATTTTGCCCAAAAAAAACCTTTTGGTAAACTATTTTCAGAAATATGATTTAAAGGTTCCAGTGAGTTCACATTTTTGTGAAATCTAGGAGAGCTCAAAATACCGGTTGATCAACCAAGACAACCGATGAGATTTATGCAAAATTGAGCATTTTCAACAGGGCAGGACAGAAAAAAGATAACTTGCCCTGATTTCATATTTACATAGTTTGTGATTTATGATTTGATCATTTCTCTGAGCTAGTATCACAGTAAAATAGGATATAGAAATTCAAAAGAAACTTAAAAAACAATAGAAAATTGATAAGTATCACCCTGTGAAAAATCAAAGTAAAATAGGTGTTATCATCGTATTCGCCGTTTGAAAGACTATCAAGATTGCATTGGGTTTACCATAGCTAAATGGTTAGTTTGGCTCGTGCAAATTAAGCGTGCGTGCTAGACAAAAAACTAAGAGGGACATTTTGACAAATTTCGTCATTTTCAGACGACGGAGAGAAAACCTCGCTTTTGTCGTCATCGTTATAGGCATAATATAGTCAAAATTATTCTTGGGCATCATGACTTTGATTTATGTTAGGACATCAGTTCATGAACGGCAGGTCTGCAATAACGTTAAATTGGCCTGCTCTCAGCCAATCACAATGAAGTAATTTTCTCAGTCATATAATAATCATTGTTATCCACCGTTCTACCGGTCTACGCCAGATGCACATACCACTGCTGATGTGGATTATCGATGGAAAGGAGGAAAGTCTCAAGGAGTTGAGATCGTTTCTAAAGAAATGGCGCAGTTTGACTTTGTTGGCGCAAAGACCACAACCAAGGCAAACACTAATAGTAAAGGTACGACACTGTAAAAGAAAAAAAGACTTTCACGGAGCTTAGCAGGTTGTAAAGATTACGTCGGAAGATTTTACTAGCTCAATTTAAATTAATTGCATGTATAATGCAATAAATGCAATATTTAAAGTTTTAACAGTCCATTTAACATTCTCGAAAGCTGACTCGACTGATATTCAACACCCTGAAAGGCTAACCCAACTGAATCAGGATATCAGAAAGAAAAATCTTGATAACTGAATGTTGTCAAGTAAATTACATTTTCATTGATCCGCAGGGTCTTTTGCCAGTCTTCGTGCATTCTTCACGTTCAAGCGTCGTGTGTCGTATTTCATCACGGCGACCTACATGCCTGCTGTAGTCCTTGTCATTCTGAGCTGGTGTTGCTTTTGGATCAACCGCTCTGCCGTGCCTGCCCGAGTCACTCTCTCCATAACAACCATTCTAACCACAATACTATTGTATGGAGCTGTCAACTCAAACATGCCAAAGGTGACTTTTGCAATGAGCATAGTGTTTGTCCAGCGCCGAAAAGGAAAAAAAATTAACAGCATTAGCTGGGTCCAATGGAGTATGAGATAGTCTAATTTCAACTACATAGATGGATTCAGAAAGATCAGGCGAGGAAGCCAACAATGTTATCTTGAAGATATTTGTTAACCAAAACTTGAACCATCCAAAATCAGTTAAGATAAATGATGTAATTTTATTCTTCATCAACAGGTCAGCTACAGTAAAGCTATTGATTACTTCCTCATGACGTCTCTGGGTTTTATCTTCATGTCACTTCTGGAATACATCCTAGTTCTTAACACGGATCCGCGATTCTGGACTGAAAGACGGAGAGAGCAAAAATCCGAAAAAATGAAATCACTATACAAGGTACGCGATGCTTCAGTTAATACTTTACTCATTGCAGAAAATATTACTAAACTGGTTTTATTCCAGGAATCGAAGCGTTTCCTGCACAACCTAACGATATGATTTTCATGGCTCCAGTCTCCCAGCTCTCTCACAGCTCCACATCTTCCAATTCGATAATTCGAAGTGCTCCAAAAGCCTTAGAATTAAGACATGTCTGCCAAATGATCATAAGTTCAGCTCTTTGGTGCTTCGGACTCAACAGTTTTCCTTTCCTCGTCATTTTTGTTGGCTTCATAAGTTAAACAGGTTTAGTCGTGCAGTTTAGACGCATGTGGTGTTTTTGTTTGGAAATGGAGAATCCACTGAGACCCTAGGTCGCGTGCTCTGTCAATAGGGACTTACATCTCCCAGAACAAAGATTTGCCTTGTAGAAGTACCTGTAATTTCAACTACAAAAAAAATAAAACAAAATAACAGAATCCTGAGCTCGATTTTGGCTCGGACGGGGTGTTCGTTCGACAAGACAAGCCCAAACATGCAGAACGTTTGGTTCTAATGAAATACAGTTTGAACAGAAATAAATTATTATAGCTCAGCTCAGTAGAGATGAAGCTTTCTGTCTGCAGCCAGGGTGTAATATGATACCTTTTTTGGGGGGTGCATCATTAAAATACGTACCACAATCAAAATATATCACCAAAACAAAACAATTTGAAATTTACAGAAATTAAATGTTCTTAACTATAGTAATTAAGTAAACGCCAAGTCTTGTACCTGTAAGTTGACGTGTTTTTTAATTTTTTATCAAACACAGACGGATGTGACGGATGTTAATATTGCAATTGTTCTTTTCCTTGGTCACACAGGAGATTCCAGCAGAGACTCTGGTCACGTTAATGGACAGCAAGAATACATCAAATGACCTTCCCAAGGAAAGCACAGAGATGACTCCTCTAAATGGACCCACTAAAGAGGTCGAAAAGGAGCCGCCCAAACCACCAGCACCTATCAAGTCTCATTGGATTGATCGTGTTGCTCGAGCCATCTTCCCTTTAGTTTATTTTTCATTTATAGCATTCTACTGGGTATACTACATTAATCATCCCGAGTCCGCTCTTGGTGCGGTTACTGAATGAAAACAATTCCTTCGGAAGTGATAAATTGAGGCTAATTTTCTTTTAGTGGAAGTTCTTTCCACTTAGAAGGAACTTGACTGCTTATCGACGTGCAAAAAATCTGAAGTAAGCGATCTGACTACTGTTGATTAATTTTAAGAAAATCATGACAGCATGATTCATTATTTTAGCTTAAAAGTAAGTAACACTAATACCACTTCACAATTGAAGCCTGCGAATCGGGTTGGAAAAAGGAACCAGTTGTCTAAATAAGCTGAATATGTGTGTTCAGACTGGGGTGACACAAAAGTGTCCAAACGATAAACTTAATGATAGAGAATTGACATAAATTACTAATTAATATTATAGACTAATCGTTTAGTCTAATTACAGGTATCAGAAATACGATACAGTGTGGATCAATGGGATCGATCGAAGAGTAAGATGCCGTTTACAATGTTATTCTCTATTTCTTGTTAAAGGTATAACATAGCAGGATAATTCCTAAAGTGATTCAACAAAATAAACATGCAAAACAAATAGCAATGTCAAAAGATAAACTGGCCGTTTGTTCAGACTGAATTAGACTTAAAGGCAAGTCCAAAATATATTTATACATATACAAGAGACAATCAAATAATCGGCTCCTGAAATATCGTATTTGGCGGTTAAGGATGACGTAATTCTAAGTCGCACAGTTCATTAGATATTATTGAAGAATATACATAGCTGTTATGTAACGTTTATCCTCATCTAAAGCGTGTTTTGGCAAGGGGGACTAAGACGAGCACATGCTGCGTTCAGTACATAAATACGGTGAGGCATTGGTTAGTGAAGTTGGATACTAAAGCCAGTTGTCATTTATTTTATATGAAACAAGCAAAATAAATCAGGTGTATAAAATGTAAGGCATAATGCCGAAAGGAATTAATCAACTTATCAAAGATAAAAGAAAATGGTAGAAGCCCAAACACTGAAAACAAGACAACTGCACGTATTTTCTAACGATTAACTAAAGGTTGATTGTTTTTTAATTCAAGTAAATAAATTAGCCGCAACTGATATGTTTAGCAGAGTTTCCCTTTCTTTGCTCCTACTGGAATAGTATTATATCATTTTTTGTGTTTTATAATATATCTGGCGCGCAATATTCCAAACGAAAAAAATTAATCGAGCAACTGGAAGAAGAGAATTCATGCACGTAGGAATATGCGCTTAATTAAGAACATGTCTTCGCAGACTGATATGTTATAATTACACGCAATTCAATCAGATAGAGACTCTTTTGGCTGATAAACAAGTTAGAAGTAGTGTATACTGATTTAGGGTTATAAGTTGTTGGTATAGCATTTAGAATACATTTTAACCCTCTAAGCCGTGTAAACAAACAAACAAACAAACAAACAAACAAACGAACAAACAAACAAACGAACAACTTAAAGATGATCCGCAACACAATATAACTAATGGCTATGGAGGTTTTCTACACATAGCTGCAACAACGCTGCAAGCATTAAAAACGAATGAATGAAATAAAGCCGGTCCCATGGAGACAGAGAGAGTGGCTTATATATATATGAATAAAAGAAAAAATCATGATAGGTGTCAAATTAGTACAAAAAATATAAGCGCTAATATTATTGTAATATTAATTAAATGCATTGCGATGTGTTTTTGGGTGAAATATCTGACTATAAGTAGAAATAGGCCAATTTCGATACATTAAAATTGTAACTATGTTTGTGATGAGAGATAAATAACTCATTTCTATTGATTTATTCCCTTAAGCCCCGGAGCCAAATCAGAATTTTAATATATCAAAATTGGCCTTCTATCATTTAATTTACACAAATGTACTATTTGCCCGAAGTCTCATTTATTTCACTTAATCATCTGTAACTAAGTTTGACCCTGACAGCTATAGTCTCACTGTTAAACTTATGTACATCATATCCAAAGGAGCAATTGCTTGAGCTGAAAATAATGAATGTTATTAATATTATTAGCCACTGTGCAAAAATGATGGTAACTTGTTAGTGGTTTCCTTGTGGTCAATTTAATACCACGAAAGGATAAATTATTCGGCAATTATATTGCCATAACATTAATTGCAGTAATATAAAAATGGCCGTTGTTTCACTTTCTTAAGTTATAATAAGGTTAAAAATTAACGTCTTTTGCTTTGCCTTACGAGGTAAATCACTTATTTGTACAGCCTTTATATAAATGCCTGCTAATAAAAGCATAAAAACATGAATTTTATGATTTAATAATTGATCGATTAAAGCTAACTACGACGAAAGGAAACAGTTTTTTTCACTCCTGGATAGTCACTGTTGCTTTATTACAATTTCAACATCGATGTATACATTCCCAAGTACACTTTTGAATAACACCTCAAATCTCCACATTTTGGTGGCAAACGGAGTCGCAAGTAGACGCAAGTTGAAAGCTTGGGTCCACTTGCGACTCCGTTTGGCCAGGCCTTGCGTGCACTTGCATTGAATTACGATGACTTGCGGTCATGCTGGTCGAGATCAATTTTGCACGCAGGTCGACGTAAGTTTTTCACCGTTTGGCCACTCAACCCAAGTCAACGCAAGTTGAGAGACGTCCATTAACCTATTATTAGCCAATGAAATACAGGATATTTCTGACTTGAAATGGTTTTTATAGCGACTTGCGGGTACTTGCGAGGAAACATGCGAGTCCGTTTAGCCACCCAACACAACTCTCTACGCAAGTTCAACTTCCGGCTGCTTGCGATTACTTGCGAGTCTGTTTGGTCAGGGCTTAACAAAAACAACCATTCATCCGTCTGCATACAAAGGTTTATTGTTATGACGTATCCTATGATGGCTAGATAAAGCTTCAACTCCTACACAACTGCCAGCAGGTTCCCACCGAACGCCACAAGTATGAAAGGCCACCCGACTTAAATCCTATACGACTGTACTATACTATGCATCTTATTGAACCTTGACTACGTACGCTACATTAATTCTGCTACAGTTGCAGCAGTGTAGCATTATTATGTTAGATTTCAAATGAGATTTTAAATAGGCAATTTTGAATATGATACAACTGTACTCAGCGAGCTAGGGGATTTTTTTAGCAAATTCCGTTATATACGTCGTCTAAGTCACGCGGTCAAGTAGAGTTTTATTGCATCAACACGACTAAATGCAAGTGAAAAAGGTCGCGGACAGAGGATGCACTTTGCATTCTTGTTACATTCAGGAGGTAATATCTTCAGGGTGCAAAAGAAAATAGTGCGACTTATTGCTAATGGTTCCTGAAATTGAATCATTACCAAATACGCAGGTTTGATTGTGTCTTTCTTTCTTAATTTGTAAATTTAAACAGTAGTTTTTACAACTAGTGCTATCGTAGCAAAAGAGCAGCTATCTGAAATGTATCAAACTTGCATGCAATGTGATGAGTTCTTTGACCTGCCTGAGTAATTTAAACTTGTAAAAAGCTTCAGAGTCTTTACAAAATAAGCAGATCTCGCAGATCTTTATTTTAAATTTTTACAGCGTTACCTGTTGTACGAACTTTCGCCAGAACAATACCAGAAAAGTAAGGTAACAGCTGGGGAATATGATACGGGACATTATATCGACCCAGTGGGTACCGCGTGATTTCCGTTTCTTAGGTTCTACACGATTAGTGGCTTTCACTTGAATGTTTCCATGACGCGTTTCACCTGACTTATCTAGCAGCATAACTGTAGCCCCTTGTTGTCCATTGGACACCACAACTCGCCGGGGTAGGGTGTGGTTGCACGGTGACACGTGATTGTTTACCGCAGCGAGGACAGTTTCAGGGGGTTGAGTGATCTCTGCTTCGAGTTCCGTGTCTGGCTCAGTACTGGAGCTATTCTGTAAGGTCAAAATTAAATTTTCATTTATCCCTTATGAGACCGTAGAATATACTTTGAGGATCTAACATTCACAGCTGTAGCCCTGTCGGCAAACCAGAAAACAGAAAATATTTCTGAAAGGAACAGTGTCCCAGTAGATTAGTGAAAGTCGTCCTATCTAATAATTTCCATATTATAATGCCAAATGACCGCCTAGATGGAAATAAATTAGATAAGAACATTTTACAGAACAAGTTGAACTAACAATGAATCAACTTTTACAATTTAGTTGATGCGATGTTTCATGATTTTACCAACTTAATAAATGTAGATGTAGAACAAGTTCTTTGAGGACGAAGCACTGGCAGGGCTACAAGGATTGGAGAGGATTAAAATTCATCAAATTTGACTCTATGACAGAATCATTTAGTTACAGTTTCCTCTTTTTAGTTGATATTTCTTTGCCTTAACCACTTTTGATTTTTTTCCTATACGCTGCGAAACCACTGCAAGATCATAAAGCAAGTTTATAACAAGCTCCCGTTTATATAAAGCACAATCTTTACCTCTTTCTCGAGCACCGCTTCTGCAGGTTTCAGTGGCTTTTTCTCTTCCTTTTGGTACAAAAAAAATTAAATATCTTAACATTGTCAAAACACTTAAACTGTGTTATTGTGAACTAACACCCTGAACTGTATGATATGATTTGTTATCATGGATATTATTTATGAGATGTTATGTCATGACAGGATATGACTTTTTCATGATATGATGCAGTATGACATGATATACGATATGCAGTATGAAGCAGGGTTACACGATCATTCGACAAACGATATCCAAATTAATATGGACAGCGCTTAAGGTAGTAATATAAGCAACGTATACCAGGTCAAAACGAGAGCTATTTATGCATTTGTGGCACTTTTCAAATGGATCTCGGCATTTTTAATTGTAACCAGACATTGTAATAAATACCTTGTCAGATTCTATGTTGAAGCACCTTCTAAGGCATTGAAGCCATCTTGGATCAGGATCTGTATTCAACACGATCACAAACTCCAGAAATGAAAGAAAGATAAATCCGAAACTGACCAAAAGGAAATAGTCTTGAGCCTTGCTGTAACTGACTGGAGGCATAGCTTCATTCACGGAACCGAAAAGAACAATAGCTGTGAGAATTGTTGTGATCCCCAAGGACACGCGCGCAGGAACAGCATAACGGGAAATCCAAAAACAGCACCACGAGAGAACGACTAGTGTTACTGCTGGAGAGAACACTGAGGAGACGAAGTATTCCAACCGACGTTTGAATGAGAACACCACGCTCAGACTGGCGAATGAACCTGCATTTAAACAAATTGACAGTTTCACCAATTCTGAATTCTGACAATTTCACCAATTATTGAGAATACAAGACGATTTTCACGTGATATTTCTCGTATAATTTTGCAAACACGGTATTACTTTATTTTCAATATCATTGCAAAATTCCAGTCTTGCATGCCATCGAGTGATCTAATAGGAATCGAAACGTTAAGTTTCAATATGATACAGATCAAATACAAGTGAAGGAGTTGAATTCTACAAAATGAAACTATCAGCAAGAATTCATTACCCATCCACGAAACCATTTACCTTTGCTGTTTTTTGTATCCCTGAGCTTAGTTTCTATTCCAACCAGTTCAAACTGCGCCATTTCTTTGGAGACAATCTCAATTCCTTTGCCCTTGTTCGCTTTAGTCTTTCGCCATTTGTAATCCATATCATCAGTAGTGTGTGCATCTGAAATTGAACAAGCAGCCACCGACGTATCACGGACGCAATTTTTTTCTTACAATGATACACGTGACTGTTCCTTCTTATTATTACACCTATCAAACTACTGGCTGCAGTTGCTTTATGTGATAATAGTACAACATAAGGGAGGTGTCTCCATCATCATAACAATCTTTAAAACGCAGCTGCGGGCGAAAATAGGCATTAAGTGTGTATAGAACACAGGCGAAAATTATCGCATAGTGCGTATAAAAACAACTCTTGGTTAAGGTTTAAAGAAACTAAGTGCTCTTAGACGTACTGAAAGAACTCTTAGATAGCCGTTTAGAAAAAGAAGCTTTAACTTGAGTACATCTCCGAATCTTCTAGAACGTTCGTCCTTTACTCAGGTTTAATTATTTGTCAAAGTGATATTTCGCAATTGCTATAATTTACTACAATTTATGCCATTTCCTATGACTATACTTTGAATTTTGTAGAGAACCATATCATTAGCCATTTGTAATCTGAGCATGTTTATAAAAACCTATTATTCTTGTTTTTCTTTATTAAAAAACGATGACATCAACACCTGAGTGGAACTCGATATACAGGAATTAAGGTATGGTACTATAATATGCACAAAGTCACAAAAATGCATCATTTATTGTTCTCTTGAGATTTCAGGGATGGTAAACTATCACAGCATCTTTTAAGAAAAACTTTTCAACGAAGTCAAAGATCACAAGACAAGGATGATGAATTAGACCAAACCGATTATGATAATCTAGTAATATAAAACATACATATAATAATACTTGAGCCGCATTGTGTTTCACAGTGTACTGAGCGGTGATCAATAGCAGGTATGCAGTGAAACATCTTAGGTACTTACAGCTTTCAATAACTAATGGGCAGTGCTGGGTGTCCATTGGGTACAAACGAAAGTCCATGTCACATTGAGCCGTTAAAGTTATCCTGTGGTGTATAGTGACAAATGCAGACTAGATGTCAAATATTGTCATAATGTAGATCGTCGAGAAATTTTGTAACAAATGCAATTTATACGGCAAAGTGCTGAATTAAATCCTTCATTCCATTAGTCATATGCACAACACACTAAAATCGTGGTCTCGAAAGTCGAACCTCGATTTTATGCTCTCGATTTCCTCACAACACTTGCAAGTGCTTTAGTGATAATAGCACTGATCCCATTCAGTAAATGCAACTTCAATGAATGGAGCAATTAGCAATATGATCAGTTTCGTTTATGAAACACATTTTAACTATCAGAAGAGAAAGATTGTAAAATTGAGCCTCTTTTTTTTTTTTCCGCTCTGGTCTCTTTAAAAAGTCGCACCTCTACATTGGGACACTTCTCATGAGGCAACAGACATCACTTCTAAGTAGACTTGCACTCAGTTGCGGTACAATTTACACAATGTTTTCCTATTAAGGAAAACTTATTATAATTTCAAGGCTGTACGTTTATCGTAGATTCTACTGTATTAATAGTGTTGTTTAACCAGCTTTTTAGTTGCTTGAAAAAGGTATCACGAGTCCAAATACTCATAATAAAATAAACCTGAATTTTGCCAGTAAAACATGTCATGATAGGTCCAAAGATAGCAGTGAATGTACAATTTCACTAAATTAAACTTGTATGTAAACGTTTCACCACATATTTTCACGGTTACAATATATTTTTTGGGGCAAATAGTTTAATGCTTACCTCGCGCTAAAGTAAATTTTTCCTGTCGAATGAATCATCACGCGCATGTTTTCACGAGTCACGAAATGATACTTGATTCTCTTCACATTAAAGAAGTAAGTATCAGGAGTCCAGAAAAGCAATGAGGGATCTGCCGCCATGTTAAAAGGTGTGCTAGAATTATGCCTGAACCTTGGATCATACCACCATTGGCGAAAGAAAATGTCCAGTGAGTATTCCTGTTGATTAGAGAAAGATATATGCTTGGGTAATCCGGCAATGACGATTTATTATTTCATCCCTATAACCACTCCCACAGTCCCAGCAGCGTGTAGAGCAATTATTGTTTTTTACTCTATCTCATCAAATACCATTAAAGAAACTGTTTTATCTGCCATTTTATTACACTACTAGGTTAGCTCAGAGGGCCACTAACTAAAATCAACCAATCACATTGTTCCATTGCCGGTCCAATATTCTCTAAGTATTGGACCGGGAAATGTCCCGAATGATCCCTCAAGATCACTCTTGAATATTTTGGGTAGTTTTATGGCTTACGTTTCTAAAAGAACTTGTTTTCACACAAAAGATTTGAATTCTTTTCTTTTTCTTCCAACTCTCCTTCACTTCTGTTTTGTTTAACATCAGATGGGAGTGTCCGTCTAGTCGGCTTCCAAACTGAATTGTTTGAACTTTGCGATGTTTTCCTTGTCCTTGATCGCGGCATTTTTTCTCTTGTCCTTGATTGCGGCATTTTCAGTCGTGTAATCTCTTATTGACCAAGCTTGCTCGGGACCGAACTGGTGGCACGGCGGCCTTATGGTTAGTGCGCTCCCCTCCGGATCAAGGGGACCAGGTTCGAGTTCCAGGCGGGGACTTTGTTCTGTGTTCTTGGGCAAGTCAATTTACTCTCACAGTGCCTCTCTCCATCCAGGTGTATAAATTGGTACCGTCAAACTTAATACTTGGGGTTAACCCTGTGATGGACTAGCATGCCATCCAGGGAGGCGTAGAAATACTCCTGGTCGCTTCATGTTACTGAGACACTGCATGAAATGGCATGTATAAGGAGGTCTAATGAACCCGTATACATTATGTGTACGGAAAGGTATACTGATGTATACTGAAGTATATGTATAAGGTCTGTACAATGATCCGTATGTCTGTATCCTTATACTAATGTATACTGACCGGAGATAGTGCCCTCACTTGGGTCGTATGCAGACTTTTACCTTCACCTTTAACAATTGCTTTAAATGTGTTCTTGCGTAAGTGGTACTCAAAACAAAACAAAAACCAAATTCGCTTGTGGAAGATGTACTTGTGAAGAACAATGCCAGTAAATTACTAAGAAATCTACTGATCTTTTGACGGCAGTCACCGATACTAATGATGGAGTGCCTTAAACAATGAGAAAAAACAGTCCTTCATAAAACAACAGAAATAAGCCATAACATAACCATACCATATTTGCTTCGTTGAGTTCTCCGAAGGAGACAACCTTGATCTCAACAGTTACTTCAACAGGCTCACCTTGAAGTAACATAACAGGAACAAGTCGCAATTAGCAATATTGTCATGACAAATTGGATTTCAAATTAAATTTATTTCGTTTTACCTACTGTACCACAGGTAACAGGATTTTCGTATGGTTACTCTCGCTGATGCACAGCAACGGATGGGCGAATGATGAATGATTTAGATACGGCACTTACTTGGCAAAGACGTTCTCAATGAAGCGAAACGAGCTGAAATTAATTGAAGTAAGCAGAGCCGTAGAGGCGAGTATGGTAGGGTATGGTCAGGTGTTGTGGAGGGGAGAGGAGTGGTGCAGTGGGGTGCAGTGCAATATAAATGCAGTGCAGTGCTGAACATTACAGTTGATCAGTACAATGGAGTACATGCAGTGGATATCATTGCATGTGGAGTGGGAGTTATAGTGCCGACTCACCACCAGCATTAGGGCGTAATTTCGGATCATATGATCCCAGTATTTCATTAATGGTGGCAGACAGATTGGCAGCTTCCTGCCTTGTACGCGCCCAGAAGTCATCGTCCTCCTCTAGAGACCTGCAAATCAGGAAAAGGGAAGGTGCAGATAATGGAAAATGCTTGAGACCAGGACCGAAGTTGTTCGAAGGTTGGAAAACGCTATCCACCGGATAAATTGCTATCGAGTAGATAAGCGTTAACAAAATGAACCACGCTATCTACTGGATAGTAATTTATCCGGTGGATAGCCGGCGTTATCAACCTTTCGAACAACCCGGGCCAGCAGTGGAGGCCTGCGGACGAAAAGACAAAAATCCCGTCCTCTTAGAAAGAAAGGTATACTATTTTATCTGTCGCTGGCAGAATTAACGAGGGTTCGGATAACAAACGGATTATCAAATACACACAGTCTACATGTTAACAGTTTATCGTAAAATGCTAAAACATCCTATTGCAGTATAAGGTGTTTCTACTCTATAACTGAAGAAATGCTTTGATACGGCTCCCTGTGGCTCTCTGGAGTTACAAATTTCCATTCTTAAAGTAAAAGTGACAGAATGTGTATGCAAAATTTCCATTTGTTTTGTTCTTTTTTTGTGAAAATAAACAAGAAACTCCCTTTAATTGTTTGCTCGCATCAGAAGGCGAAATAGAGTTCCAACGTGATTACTGTGAGCAAGGCACTACGCGGGCCAGTCGTATTCTGTTGGAAGGTGACCTACCGGGTGGTCTTCTTTGGCATGGGCCAAAGAATTTGTTATTGATATCGTAATAAACCTTTGTATTAGCAAATCTGATAACGTTAAACTGTAGGTGATGGAGGCGAATGTTGGTTGTCCTCTGTTGCAAATGAATATCGTTCATTGTTTACTCGTTCATTGTACTACCTGCCAAATACAACCAGGTGGTATAAAACCGGTATTTCACCAACCAGGAGATAATGAATAGCAATCAAATCTCAGCGTATCACCTGGCCATGGATATGCTCAGCCTAGGACTTATAATAATATCTTTTAAATAGTAAGCTAGATATCTTCACCTTTCAGATTCAACTATGGATGTACCTAGCCTTTACAAATAAAGAACAAAAACATCTTCTAGAAAACGATGATTCATCTATAATGTATTATAACTTGTGGCTAGAATCTCGATTATAAATTTTTGTTGATTAATTGCTTTAGCTAGGCGATTTTTCAGCCAAAGGGCTCATTTCAAAAACGTTGGGTTCGAAATGTACATGTAAGTTGTTGTACTATGTTACGTTAACATGTTATTTTCGTTGTGCTTTAAGAATGCAAATATTCGAGAAATTACCTAATAAAAAAAATAATAAAACATCAATCAGTGGGCACAACAAAAAACGCGACCAGTTTGCTAAATGATAAATATCGTAACAAAAAAACAAATGAAAATAAACACAAACCGGCCATAAACTGCACGGGAATGTGACCGCTACGACTAAATTGCCATTTCTTGTGTTTGTGTTTTGGTATCTTCAGGTATTGGTTGGGAAACCCTCCACCAGCTCTCAATCGAAGCAAGCATTTATTTTGAAATGTTACTGTCTTTTATTCTTAAGGACAGTATTCCATCTCCCTTGCCTTGCTTGTTACTGACCGACAAGTCGTTTATTCACTACGGCAATCAAAGTAACCCTTCTCCTCTTCAAGTTCCAACAGTTTCTGCGGCAGCCTGTGCACAACCGATCAATGTGCTTTCTATTCCTACACCTCTAATAGATTTAATCAACTAAAGCTTTACCAGATTTTAACACTAGACTTAAAGAGTTCCTATTTTAGATTTGTTATTTAGGATTATTGTATTACATGTAAATGGACTGCTTCACAACCAGTTTCGCTTTTCTTTCCAATTTGAAATCTATTAAATTGCGATCTATTTTTATTTATTATTTCAATGTATTACACAAACAGTTGTAACGTTCGTTTAAAAAAGTTATTGGCATAGATGTTCTTACAGTATATACTTGCAGTCTATAATCTTCTTTTAACATGATGCTGTGAATGAAACCAGAATTAACGTGCTAGCAGTCATTGCTGAACTAGATTTTATGCAAACCAAAAGTCAGCTGTGACTGAAACGTTATTTGATGAAGCATATGCAAATCGCGCGAATTTCCCACAGATCAGTAATCAGTGTTCGGAAATGTTCGTCATTCTTACAGGACCGTGCAAATAGAGTTGTCATCGTAATTACTACTCTTATAACTGAATGCACGAATGAAACTGAACATGATTCAAAGTATTATTTCTCTTACCTTTCGTGTCGTTCGCTTGTAATTGAAAACTTCCCACTGCAGGAAGGAGCCGCTATCAATAACAAAGTCAACAGAAAATATGGCAGTTCCATGTCAGTGTCCTACACGGGAAAATGAAACGCAGTAATCACAACACAAACTGAAAACTAAGAAAGTTATTGAGAGCAAATAAAGAGACGTTCTTATCATTTAAAGAGAGTGAGAGAAACACAAACAAATCTTACATATGCCTCACAGTGATTTTAAGATTTACACACAGTTCGATGAAAACTGGTCAGCTGGCTAACTGAAAACACCGGTTATCGACAACGTTTAGTTATGATATATTTACGCGAGACTTCGTCGATAACAAGATGTAACCAAGAAATTTGAAAAACAATCAATTAGCGATATTGTACCTCGCCAATTTGTCGACTTATAAATAATAAATGATAACCAAAAATTTCCAGCTTTTATATATTTTTCAATAAAACTAAGTCACATTTAAAGACTTTTCTAGTAATGGGAATACTTCCCACAAGACGTCATTTTAATACAAATTGCGTTTGCACTGCATATAAATTTACAGAATTACTTTCTGGGTCAATAAGAGATAATAAAAAACCCGCTATTGTTATTTCTATAGCAAGCGAAATTAAATACTTTCAAGCCACAGCCGTGCCAGACTCAGTAGAGCTCAGCAGTGTACTCAGCAGGCTGGTTATTTACCATACCAGCTTGATGTCGGCGCATAACATAACCAATAGTACTACTATTGTTCCAAAGTTATAGAAAAAAACTCTTGCTGTGATTGCAAGCAAATCGTGCCAAGCAAAGTAAGGTAAACAGTAAAATGTAAACATTCTCATTCTTTCTTTCCTGAGGGGTGTTTATATAATTTTGGAGCGAAGCCTGCATGCAAAACTATAGCTTGACATAGCTTTTTATAGGAATATTAAATGTGGGCGATCTATAATTTTTAAAAAGACAAACACTGAATTTTTACTGTCATACTTGCTTCTTGTTCTTTTGATCATAATATTTTTCCTTGAATATTAGCTCTCATAAAACTTCTCAACCTCGAATAATGCAAATCTAGTCTTCTGATTGGTTCACTGAATCTCAGTTAAAAGCCGTTGTACAAGTGTTTCACTGTATGGAAAATGGAAGCGGCAAGCGTCACAGAAAAAACGTTAGCTGCAATCAGCAGGTTTGGTGAATTTTTATGCCGCTCAATGCGCTAAGTGATGGCAAATGCCATCTCCGGCAGAAACCAGGCGAAGTCACAGAATTCACAATTATCGCAGTTATGTACAGTTTGAGACCAAAACGTCATTCCATTGAATACGCTCTGAAATGTACTACAGAAGTGACTGACAAAAACTGAAAAAAGGCGAGAAACAAAATTACAAGACCGAAAAACCAAAACACTTTCGTCCAAAAATTAAAGCAGCTTTTGTAAGCTTTAATGGCATTTCACTTCAGTAAAGTTTTGTTACCTTAGGTTTGGGTCTTGTCCTTTTATGCTTCAGTAACTGACTTGATCGATTCTGAGCAACACAAAACTACACAGTACAACGATGATGAGAGCCGCGTAAAGAAGTCAACTTCTTACTTTAATCATCCAGTCGATTGAAGAATTTAATGAAGCAATCGTGCCATTCGACCTTGTTGGATGACCTTGGATTGACCTTGGATACGAGGTGATTATAACAAACTCGACGCTACGTGTCTCGCTTGTTATTTATCATCTTGCCTATCCAACGTGGACTGATGGAACAATGCATGATTTGTTGCCGTGGTGTTCAATTGTTGTAATCCTTTGGGAAATAGCTATGCAATGTTTTTAATGCTTTTTGTTATGATTTTGACATATCCTTACGTGAATTATTTTTACCAGAATACTCTTTAAGGAAAATATACAAAGGAAAATGAAATCAAGAGCAGGATATTCAATCTATACCGCAAAAAAGTTACCAAACGCCTAGAGGAACACTATTTTAAGGGCCCATTAACCGATTCATGCGCGCGCTCGCGCGCGTTGCTGAGGAGATGAAATTTCATTTCCGGTTACTTACGTCAGCCTGACCGCGGAAAATAATAATAACTCAAAAACTTGCAAATTCGCCTACATTTTAAATGTTTTTCTTTGTGTTTCACAAAATGTAAAGTAGAAAAAGTACAAGCAAAGATAAAATAAGAGAAAGACAGAAAAACAAGAGCAACAGAAAGAGAAAAACTAACTCCGAGTGGCTTTGTTTGATCTTACCGAACTGCGCTGGTAGTGCAAATTGCGCACGCGCTGATAGGGTAACTTTTAATAGATATCGGGCGCACTTCCGGTTTCTTTAGATTAAAGGAAACGCGGTTTTTCCTTAAATCCAGCCTTTTTCGACGAATTTCGATTAAAGCCAATGTTGGAAACATAGCTATGCATTCCTTTTTTGAAATCATAATTTTTTCAGAAAATTACGAATTTTTCAATATTTTGAAATGCTCTCAAAATCTGACCTTTTAGAAATGAAGCAAAATCGATGCGTAGCGTAATGAGGATTTAAATTAAGATATTAAATCAATGAAAAAAATCCCGATTAAGTAATTTGCCTGGGAGCCTTTGCATTTTTTCTGTATTAGTCACATGACCATAGGCGTGGCCTGATGACGTCATCACTAGTGTTACTGATCATGAAAAAGTTAAAACACATGAAATAACTCTGAACTAACTGAAAATGATGAGATTATATGAGAATAAATTTTCCTTAGCAACGGCTCGAAAAGATCGGTTAATGGGCCCTTAACATTGAGCTTAAAATTTACCTGTTGAATATTTAATGACGTCCCATTTTCTTTCGGGAATTCCGCCTTGCTCTGAATTATCTGAGAAATAGTACACATTTTCCGTGTATCTAGCGAGCTATAGAAACATGAGTGGAGAGGGAACACGAGCCGGCAAGCCAGTGTTTCCACAGCTTTTTCGAGTTCTTCGAAACTTTCCAGAGTGTTTCTGCAACTCGATAGAAAGAAGAAGAAAATGTTTTCTATGTTTTTTAGAAAACAGCCCAAAGAAAATAACGAACAACGCGACCATGACAACTTTTCTGAGTTTCTATTGAGTATAATTAGTATAAATCTACTAGCGTTCTATCACGAATGCCGTTCTCTAATTGGCTACGCTACTCACTATCTATTCAGTTGTAAAAATGGATTAGCCCAGCAGCATTCGGTTGCTAACAAAATGGTAGCCGTTTTGTTGGCGTTTTCGAAGTGTCTGTGTAGAAGATTTATATAAAGTTTTGAACGACTAATAGATTTATACTAAGACGATTAGATTATTCGCTCTCGATTTCTATGCGTGATAGTTGACAAGGGCGCAGCCCGAGTCAATTATTAACGCGATAGAAATCTCGAGCTCATAATCTTAAATAATTTTTAATAATGAACGCGTGTATTTTCTTAGGTCCATTTTCTAAATTCTACTTATTGCCTCGCGAAGTAAATTATATCTTTTATAGTTCTTTTGTATTTGTTTCTGTGCTCTTGCATGACCAGATAATCTTCATAAAAGATTTTACACTGAGGATTTTCGAAAAGTGCAGGCCGTTAGCCGAAAATGGGTATGCAGTTAGTTACTGAGCTCTTCAAGCTCCTGGGTTTGTGTAATGGTTTTGTTGACAACGACATGTGACATTGGCCAATCCGCAAACATTTGGATTTGAGTTTCATCTGAGGTCATTGCCAAGTGCATTTAGTAGACGATCGGTAGGGTCGGTCAGCCAGCCGGTTGCTTCAGTTCTTGCTGCAGCTACACCGTGCTGACAAGACCCAACCAGGTTGGAATTCTTGGCTTTCAGTTTGGACTCTATCATGTCGTTGTCCCGTTAAACTTTCTACGAAGTAATTAGCCTTACTTCTTATGTTGCGTTAACACTCACGCTGGTTTTCAATTTTTGTTGAATTAAAGAAAAGCGGCTTGGTTTAGCACACGCTATATTTCTTACAATCTCACAGCACACGCTATATTTCTTACAATCTCACAGCACCCTTGAGATCTAAAGCCCAATATGATATATCAACCAGAATCTTATGTTAAAAAACATATACAGCTGTTTATTACACGCTTCAAGACAGCGTATGATAATTAGCCCACACTACCACGGTAAACAATATTCCCTTGAGAGTAAAAAGAAACTTACAGGAACCATACGACACTAAGTGATCGAAAGCAAAATCACATGATCAGTTGATATATTGTAATGCATCTTGAGACTTTTCTGTTTCCACTCTTGCATACACCTTTTTTCGCGCAGGAAAATCAAACATCGTATCATGTATTGAATACAAGACGTTTATAGACCCTGGTTGTTTGATATTTTCAAAGAATGGGCAAGAGTTTTCCATCCTGTGTTAATATTTCGTTTTCCGCTGAATATCCAAAACAATTTCCAATTAGCATTCAATGTCTATCTTTTTTTATAAAGTTCTCATTTGAAGATAATTTTCTGACGTGGTGAGAAGAAATTTGTTGTATTTAGGAGGTAGTATATCGTATGTTAAGTGAAAGGAAATGATACCCGAGAATCCAAAAAACCGGCAGATTTGCATGCAGATTACCAAACAACATCCAAGGAGTAAAGAGCTTTGTTTTAGATTAATTTACTTAATATTATTCGTATATCTTCCTTTCCCTCTTCTAGAAATGTTCCCCGTAGTAAAAGAAGTCAATTAAGTTGGTAATTAAACTAGAAAGCATTGAAAGAGAAAGTGATGGTCAATTTCCTATGGAGAATACAAAACTAGGTATCTTTTGTAATGGCGCATTTTTAAGGAACCCCGCCAGGGTTGTTTCTGTTAGATGGGCCACTATATTTCCCTAAAATGATGCTGAAAAACAAAATTCTAATATTCAAGGATGACGCATCTGCATTTTGTATCCGCCCCATATAAAAAATACAGCTGTTTTGCCCAGCAACATCACTTTTTTCTCAAGAGGATCAAAAATCTACGGAAAGTTCACAGACGAAGGTACGTTTTAATAATCCGATAGGACATATCCTTTGAAACGTACACTGAAATATTAGCAGGGTGTTCATTTTAAATACAACCTTTTTTGCATGGGAAAGCAAATGCGTGGAACAGGCCAAAACAATGAAGGAAACTGAGAGTCAAGGTAGAGTTTGAATTTTATTTTTTGCCTGAAATTACAGGCAATTTAAGGATCAAGGAGTACATTGACAAGTAAATAAAAATCCCACTAGAAGTACAGACCTTCTCGAATCATTGATCGATATCGGCATACCGGTGCAATATACACGATAAAAGAATCACACGCGATTGAACGAAGCGAGAAAATGTTTAGTTAACCGTATTATATTTAAATTTTTCGTTCGGAATGGAAGAAAGATTCGAATACTAATCTTGTTATGTCGTTTAAAATAAGCAGGTTAGTTATTAACTGAAAATTTAACTTGAAGAAAACAAGTGCTGAAGCCGAAATCATCCATCATCGCGGCGATTTGGGAACGATTTCTTGATAGCTTGTTACAGGCTGAAGAGTGTAAGGAAAACCAAGGCACCAGGCGTGATGTGAAGAACGATAGAGCAGTTCCTCGCTGCTTTTCCTCCGGTCTCTTCGGCTATATGTGGCTCATTTTTCCCCCACAGTCTTACAGTGCTTGGAAATGATCAATTCTTCTTAAAAATCAAATAAAGACCAAATATGTAAATCGAATTTACTCTTAGTTAGTCAAATTAACAAGACAGTAAGAGGAAATAAGGATAACAAGAAGAGGAAAACACGTTTCCTCCTAGGTTGGTGGTTCTAAGTGCATTAGACGGATTTAGGAACCTTGTGTTTACAAGACACTTCCAGGCTTACGACAAATTTACATAAAAGCGGCATCGTCTCTGAAAATTCATTTGCGTCAATTTTAACAGGCCTGTTTTGACACTTTTATATTTGGCGTCAACGACGGTCTGACGTGAGTAAAATCAGTTTTAAAACTTCCACTTTGTCGCTGTTTGTTTTTGAAGTGTCAAATAATTGCCGACAGAGGATCAGAAAGAACCTTTCGCAACACAAGTACAACTTCCTGGTTTTCCGCGTAGAATCAATGATTGGAATATGGAAATGAGAAAAGTTCGAAAGTTCAAGGTTTATATTAGCATCGATCACCGTGTAACATGTTGCTGAATCACACTGAAATAATAGCAGTGCTTATCAAAGGATTTTTTTCCAGGGTTCATCTGGATGCTAAAGGCAGACTGTATCTGTGAATGGACAACGCCAAGAGTTCTTTATTTTGCAAACTAGTCATTTTGCAGGTAGGTGTAGACAAAAACTCAGCTGAAATCGATAACACAATACACACTTTCCTCTTAAAGCAAGGAATAGAATAGTATTTTCAGCAAACACCAAGCATAAAATGAATTTGACCTTATTTTTAATTTTATTTTTTATGTGAAGAGATTATTGCGCCATGTCTTGTCACAGTTAAGATGAGAAGGAGAAGTTACTCTTGGAAAAACGCGCAACAAGGCGTACAAGACCCTATTTATATGCATAAAAAGCAGCTACACACATAAACAAACTTTAAATGCAAAATATTTTAAGTTCTCTTTCTCGCATAAACTAGGCTGATCACTGATTAGGCAATTCAGTCTGGATTTACTCCAGGTAATACTTTTTTATTAGTTATGTGGCTTACTTATGAAACCTCCATACGCTATCGTTGCTTTCAGGCAAAGCTAACAAATCTTTCAATTCTGCGAAACGGTTTCCTAAAGCTTCAATAAATTCCTAAAAATATTTGTTCAGTGTACAGATATGACGAATTTACATCAACAAGGCAAATGTAATATCAATAAAAGTATAAACATGAATATGGTAGTTTTCTTAACATTAATTTCGAAGTCAATGATTTGATTGACAACTAAGCACTCCATGCACATGCATTGAAACCTTAAAAGCAAGCTTGTATTTAGCGATACCGGCTGTCATCCAAGTAGCCAACATGAATGCTCGTTCGATAGACGCCGCAGGTCACAGGTCCAATTTCCCCCATTCGACGGGCGCGGTACACAGTGATCTCACTAAACACGCTAGCGTGCGAGTTTCTCGAGTTCACTGTGCAGCGAGTTTTCAAGAAACGAGCCGCACGACTGGTTCAGCTGTCACACAAGATTAGGTTCATTACGTATACGGAACAAAATATATTTAATATGGTACAAGACGTGGGTTTCATTGCATTTGTGAAAAATGTTTAAAAACTGCATTTTCTTGTTCAGGAACAAAGTATATTTAATATGGTACAAGACGTGGGTTTCATTGCATTTGTGAAAAATGTTTAAAAACTGCATTTTCTTGTTCAGGTTTTAGTGACATTTACGCACGCATGGAATTCAGGAGCTGATCATTACTGGCCTTTAAATGAAATAGCATATGGACGAGTGTATGATCTTGCTGCACATCCTACCTACAAAAGGTGGATAGGGAGTATTAGAGGTACTTAAATTGCAAGAATAGCTAAACTTGTTATTTCATCTCATTAATCTGTGTTACTTTTCTTAAAAGAGAAGGTCACTCCAAAAAATGTATATTTTTTGTCAACGCTAGTAAAAACCTCGCACTAAGTTTAGCCACTCACCGAAGTTTCAGCCGCTAAAGTGCAGATTTTCAATATGAAAATAATTCGCCTCCAAAAAGGCCCAAAATTCGAACATCGTTGCCGCCATTTTAAACAGTACTCAGCAAACAGGCCGCGTTTTCGCGACGTCATTTGTTCAAATTGCTTCCGACAAGCTTTTAATTGCCACTCTGGGTTATGGCTGCTCTTGAGCCGTATTATTTTGAGCCAAACACGCTCCATACTTCGAAAATGATAGCAGTGAAGATAGTGAAGTGGATAATCGCTTGGAAAAAATACATTTTGCTGACCTTGTGGAGAATGCAAAGTCAGTTGAAGGTTTTTCTCCTTGCCGTCAATTTCGAGTCGGACGGAATGACGTGACATAAACACGGCCTGGCCGCCAAGTACAGTTCCAAAATGGCGATCTCCGAAGTCTCTTCTTTCGAGACGAATTTCTTCAGGATAGCAGGCACTTCAGAGGCTGAAATTTCGGTGAGTGGAAAAGCTGAATGTCTACTTGCCACAGGCGAAGACAAAAAAAGTGAGGTTTTTGGAGTGACCTCCTTTAATAACTGTTCGTGACACATCCATTGCTATTCTGCTATTCTTCAAAACAATTATTTAAGGACGGTGCCAACTTTTGTTTGTGCGCACACTTCCTGCACATTACGCAAGACATGGTTTAAGCGCCACGTGCGCGCTGAGGTTGACATTGACGCAATCAACTACGCTACCAAGTACACGACTAAAATGAAAGCAAAATTTTCCTACTGTGACCAAATCAAGTTTATTGAACCAGGAACACCAGAATAGCAGCATATCGCTAACCACAAGTGCGAGATAAGCAAATGTTTCACTCACTGGGAAGGTGACGGGAAAAAATGTAACGAGCACCATAAAAGTTTTCAAAAAAGATCAATAACTTTAAAAACGCGTGGTTACCCGTGGTTTTGTGTCATGAAATGGAAGTGACAAGCCTATTTAATAAATGATTAGTTTCTGGTGATGAACAAAAGGTATTTAGAATGTATTTTAGCTGAACCAGAGGAAGACTGTTAGAGACGCTAAAAGCGCTGTTGCAACGATTTTGTTATTAAAAGCATACCACAAATGGTTTTTATGAAACCATTTACCATGCAGTTTTAAGACCTTTATAAACGTGTTGCTTTTCTGTATATAAAGGCGAATTCTAAGGATATCTGTGAAGAAATATCCTTCCCTTCTTTTTTCAGAAAATTATAATGTAAGCATTTTTGTTGAGATTCAATCTCGAAAAATGCGTGGCTACCCCAATTTTTCTTTGTGGATTTCAATAGCCCTTGCAAAGATCTACTTTTTCCGGGTGGTCCTAACCTGGCGCAAAAACTTTTGTGTTTCGTAGCCACCGTCCTTAAATTGGCGGTTTTAGTGTCACGTCACGACAGAGTAAAATCCAAACCGTTGAATAAAAGAAGTCAAGAATTTGAAATGTTATAGATGATTAATAAATAATCAACTTCTCCGTCACAAAGTTTCTCACAAATTTATGGAGCTCAGTATGGAAACGGCATGTTTTTACCGTCCTGCAGAGGGGCACAAATATGGAGGCTGGAGATCAATAAAAACATGTGGAACTACTTGCTTTTTAAGCGATCAGTTCACCCTCATAAAGCAGTAAACCTTCACATAAATACTTTTCCTAATACGTCAAGTGTTCAGAATGAAAAATATCGCGAAATATAATTGATTCTTTTCATGGCACGTGGAAACCTGTCCTCTGACGTGAAAATGTGGGCTCTAAAAAATGCTCTATTTTCAAACCGAAGAATGCTATCGAGCTAACAACGTGCAAGAAAAGATATATTTTGAAGATCTTATAACCGATACATTTAAAACCCAGGGGACCTTTAAATTTCTGGTCTTAGAATTTGATGACGTTACGTGAAAACAAAGAATTATTTTCCACAGGAAATGCTGAGATCACGTGGTCTAATCCTCAACTCGCCCTAGACCTCTACGGTCAAGATTCGTGGCTAGATCTGGGATTCAGATCTAACTCTTGTTACGTGGACGTGAAATACTGCAACCAGACTGGTATTTCAATTACGTTTTGGGTATCTTTTCGTGAAGCTAGCTCGACACAAGGATTGATTGAGTTTGGAAGTGGTGACTGCGGGCTCCTGCTCGTTCGTACATCTGACCATGAAATAAATGCCACCATTAGAAGTATGGAGCTAGAACACACTTGGAGTGTGCAAAGTTTGAATGCAAGTATTCGTGATGGGATGTGGCATCACTTTGCGATAACATGGAACGCTAGTGGGGAAATTCATCTCTTTATTAATGGTACAAGGTACAAGTACATCATCGCTTTAATCATGTCTATTGATCCTCGGCCAGGCCATATCATCAGTTGGCGCGCCTATAGAAAGTAAATTAAGAAATTGACGTCAGTTTTTTATGCGTCTGTCCTCTTATTGATGATAAATTGCGTCATAACATTGCCAAAGTGGCTGTAAAACCACGAGCCGCAGGCTCGTGGTTCCACAGTAAAAAGTATTCTCACGTGTTACACTGAATTAAAAAAAACATATCTGAACAAAAACTATGCTAATATGCAAATATTCTTGAATACTAACAAGGCTGCGAATCTGTGCGTGTGTCTCTGACTCATAGGTTAAACAATGTAAGCAGAGAGGTAATTTCAAATGTGTCTTGTGCTGATACAAACTGCTCCTGTGACTGGTCGATGAAAGTAGGCACCATGACCCGCCAGAACTCGACCGTCCAATCAAAGTCGTCCGTAAAGCTTGCCAGGCTGTTCCTATGGCACTATGCACTTAGTAACGAGACAATTCTTGAATTATCGAAAGAAGTTCAAGGTAAGAATTGTTTGCCTTTTGTGCAAAAGAAATTTTAATTTTTGATTCCCCTTATGCAATGACCGTTTATTTCAACACACTTCAAAGCGCAAACGTTTGGTCATACAATAAACAGACTATTATCACTAACTTTGATAAGTTAATAAAGATGGTGAATTTTAAGCTCGGTAATGAAATGTGAAGGTGAATCAATCAACATGACACGAGCGTGGGACAAAGAAAAAGATTCACCATCTTTATTAACTTATCACTACCCACGATGACTTCGATAGCGTTGATCCTAGCAGTATGCAGGACACCTGTCATATATGAACTCAGCTAAATGACCTTGCTCTCCATGAGTTCTCGTAGTTCAGTGGATAGAGCGCCCGCCCGCTGTTCGGGAGGTCATGGGTTGGATTCCTGTCGGGGACTCAGAATTTTTCTTTGTCCCACGCTCGTGTCATGTTGATTAATTCACCTTCACATCACTAACTTTATAGCGGTAAACTCCATATAGGCAACAGAACGTCTTGTAAAATGTTGTTGAAATCACTCTTTCAAACCCAGTGAAACAAGTTAATCACTTCCCTGGGTCAGCACGGGATTTGGCAAGGAAACACTCTTAGCATCACACTCTCTGAACTCTAAATGTTCACCTATAGGAAAACGCAGAAATAAGATATCTGCAAGTAACTCTCAAAAAAACACAGTAATCCGACCTCAGTGGCTTCTAGTGCTCGAATCACCATGTGTTTGCGTGATATATATAGCTCTTGCTTTAAAAAGGTGATTTCAACTGATTTCTTGGCACCAAAAACGATACAAATCCTCAGAGTTCGTGAATTGTACACTCGACAATCGCGGACCAAACTGTTGAGTCACACAAATATCTATCATATTTGATGTTAACAAGAGCATACATGTAATCTTTGTTCCCCATCTCTCTTCCCTCCTCCCGCCATTTTTCAATGTTGCTTTTGTTCAAATGTTATCTTTTGTCCCATTACCAACCTTCTGAAACAACAATAAATGGGAGGAATGGAAATGGGCAAAGTTTAAAATATCTTTAATTACGCATATGACAAGAGATTGTTATTCACCTGTTAATACGAAAAAAATTAAATTTATAACACACGTCATCATTTTTTTAATTTAGAAAAAATTAGTATGCTTGAGAGTTGTCTAAACTAGTTTTTGTTTTTTTTGCTTTATAGGATTATTTTTCTCAAACAGGGGATGCTACAGCAGTTGGATAGCCAGTTTACAATTCTGCTATCTCATCGAGCGTCACTTAGAACGAACTTGGCATGAATCCAAAAAGACTTGTGATGAAAATCTCGCAAATCTCGCTAGTATTGGGAGCCAAGAGGAATACGACTTCCTAGAACAGGTGCTGCATAAGAAACAAGTATCAAGCTGCTTGCATATTGGCTTGCAAACGCATGATACTGACTCCATACCGTCTTGGGTAGATGGAAACTTGAGGAGTTTCTCCAAGCTTAACATTACTTCTGAGCAAGAAAACAAGACAAACACGTGCGTATACCGAGGTGTGGATGGACTGTGGTATTTGACTAAATGCAACACGAGATGCGGTTTCATCTGCAAGAAATATAGAGGTAGGTGTTGAAGGGACACCATCTCGCAGTGTTCCTGCGTTTTGCTCAAAACAGGCGCCGAAAATATGTGTGTGAGAGAGAGGGAGAGCAAATTGTATTTAGTTTTGGAGATTTTTCCAAGAAAAGTCGACAAAATGCACTTTGCTCGCGCCATCATTAGAAATCGAGAGCGAATAATCTAACTGTTTTAGTATAAATCTACTAGTCGTTTAAAACTTTAGCTAAATCCTCTTTATAGACACTTCGAAAACGCCAAAAAGCCGTCGTAATTTTGTTAACAAGGGCATACTGCTACGCTACTCATTATCTATCACAGAATAGATAGTGAGTCAGCGTAGCCAATCAGAGAACGGCATACGTGATAATACGCTAGTAAATTTATACTAACGAGTTTTAATATAGCGATAGCATAGTAAGTAGCGTAGCAGCGTGCACTGAGGACCAGTTCTTTGTGTTTTTAAAGTGTCTTTGAAGAGGATTTAGATTAAAGTTTTGAGCGACTACTAGATTTCTACTAAAACAATTAGATTATTCGCACTCGATTTCCATGCGTGATAGTTGACGAGGGCGCAGCTGATAAAACATGGGTTTTTGACTAATATATAATAATAATAAATAATAATAATAAAAATAATCTTTAAAGAGGAAGCGCCCGTCACGTAAATACGTGGTTTTCAGGGAGGTCCTCTATAAAATAAAAAGTATTAAAATCTAAAATAAGAAATACAAGTATCACTAATATATTATAAAGGAAACTAAAGAAAACAATAATAACAATAACAATAACAATAACAATGATAATAATAATAATGATAATAATAATAATAATAATAATAATAATAATAATAATAATAATAATAATAATAATGATAAGCACCCCCTCAAACACCCTTGAATTCGGTGGAAAATCTCAGTTACCTTCCCGGCCGGAGTTGTTCGAAAGGTGGATTACGCTATCAGATGTTATCCGCCAGATAATTCGCCATCTAGTGGATAGTGTGGTTTGTTGTGTTAACATTTATCCACTGGATAGCTATGTATCCTTTGGATAGCATTGTCCAGTCCAGCCTTTGAACAACCAGGGCCTGACCCTTAATACTATAGTTTTTTTACTGTAAATTGGTCGATATTCTTTTCCCTTTCTTTTCAGTTGGCATGTTTAGAAACGCTGAATTCCATTGCCGAGTTAGAAGATACAATCACCAACTAGTGGGTCATCGGTTGACTATCCGATGGGTGCAAAATGAACTGGCTTGTGCAATTGACTGTTTGATTTATGGCAAGGGTTGTGAATCATACAACTATCAACACAACAACCTGGCATCAAATGGGCAGAACCTTTGCGAGTTAAACAGCTCAAATCAGCACAAAAAACCTGCGAGTCTAGTCTCCAATATTGGTTTTCAGTATTGTGAGAGAGTTTCCTAAGAAGTTCTGAAATAGGAAAATTAATTTTCATACAGGTGACTGACACCACGTTCGTAGCTCTCAGAACTAGCTCAGTCCGAATTCCATTGCTCTTGCACTACAACCATGGACAATCAGTGTTGGAAAATGCTCAAACACTTGACTTCATGTCTGTAATAACCACAGAATAGTTTTCAGCACCTCTGTCTCCCCTTCCAGTGTTGGTAAATGGTCAAATACAAAATTTTGTTTGATAAAAAGTGTTTTGCCAACACGCGGAGGGAAAAATGGCTCACACTAGAAAATGAACTTTTCCAACACTTATGACCAGGGTTTTAGACAAAAAGACTTTTGCTCAAAGCGAGGGATGAAGGGATTCAGTTAACGCGTTTACATCCTTGTTGCCACCCACTGAATGCAGACCATGTGATGATATTCATTTGGGAGGCAACAATTGTTCTGTTTGAACATGCTTTCATGCAATCATTTGCGTGTGGCAAATCACACAATTAAATCGTCACGTGGTCTGAATTGGGTGGCAACAAGGATGTCAACACGTTAGCCGAGTCCGTCTATTGGCTCACACAGCGGAGAAGTAAGAGCTTCTATGCTCGCGAAGGGTAGGTTATGGGTTACTAAATGGGAGGGTCTGGTTATAAAGAAATATATACACGAGGTTGGTGATCGCAGAGTCATGGCAAACGGGCGGGACGGAATGAGGCCTATATTAAATGAGCCAGAGATAAATGATTTCCCGTCATCAGGTATTGCTTCTTTGGCATACCACCTTTGTCAATGTTGATGTTGTCGGAAAGTAGGGAAAATATTAATGTTTAGGTAAAAGCTGAACTGTTCTGACATCGACGCGTCCAAACGTCCTTTTTTTTTGACCGACTCACGTCAATCTTTCCCGCTTCCCCGCCAGAGAGAAATCCAACGGTGGAATAATAAATTGGCCAATTGTAGTCAAACTGTCACCCACCAAACGGTAGCTGAATAATCTGCTATTGCTCGTGTGCTCACCACCAGGGTTTCCAGACTTGCCTTTCAAACCATCCTGGGATATCATCTAACTCCCCAAAAAATAAAATAAAATAAAATTAAGGCGTTATTATTGATGCATTATTTTGCGTGAAAACTAATTAGTTTGCTAGTTCGTTCGTTTGTTGGTTGGTCGTTAGTCTGTTTTTAGCCACCTGATGTCTATCCTTCCGCATAGGATAACAATTCGAATAACTTTTTGTTCAACAAGCAATCGTTGTAAAAGCAATAAGTATCTACCGATACATCACTATCAATTAAGTGGGTCGTGTACGTAGTTTGGTTTATTAATAGTTAAGAGCTCAGTAACAAATGAATAATTGTTAAATAGCCAATAGATGTCGATTCCTCCGATGAATGACGTTATCCACCCTTTGAACAACCGGAGCTGGTTGGATACCTTGCGTCTTGATCGATGTTACAAACCAAGAAGATCCAAACATGATGCGAGAACTTTTACTTACTTTAATTATAACACTGCATCACAGTTCTAATTTTCCACAATTTAAAGGAACTGAACAGTGATATTTTGGATAACTTTTAAAACACTATCAAGTAAGTGAAAGGACGAACCACGCCCTTTTCTACCCAATTATTATAATTATTTTACTCAAACGTACTATAACAAAATTCTCAGATCTGACTGGTTATAAGCAGGCCCGAATCGGGCGCTAATTGGCCAGTGCGCGTCATTTGCACGCGCCACTATGGAACAGTTGCACTTGAAAGAGTTTTTTTCTGGTGAATCTCGAAGACAACTCTAGTCATCAACTGCTTAAGCTATGGTTATATATTTCTTTCCGCAAATTTTGTTATAGTAATGACTCGTGATTAACAAATCAGACTACCGCTTCGGAGTTGTTTGATATTGTGAACCATTGTTACGATTACAGAACGAATTGGACTCTACTTGGTCCTTTCACCATTAGTAGCGAATTAAATCATTAAATTAATTTCTTAATGAGACAAAAACAATGTTTTCTGACTTCTTTTAAGCTAATATAACCTTACAGGTACAGGTTCCAGATAGTTTGTTTCAGAATACGTCCAGTCGAAACGAGTTTTATGATAAAATAAAATCCAGTATAATCCCTACATCAACAGTGTCCTATATAAATAACATTCACTAAATCTTGAAACGACTTTAATTTACCCATGTAGGTGTCATAAAAGCTAAACTATTAATTATCACAGTAATACTAAGTACTATCTCGTCCAGTGCCAATCAATAAAGTTTGTTTCATTTTGGCATCTTCAGTGCTGTTTGGGAAATCCAGGAAGAAGCAGAATTTTCCTGATACACCGCATACATCGATGAATTCTTTTAGCTTAAATTTGAAAAGAGTATAAATCATCTAGAATGGCTACAAATTACAAAATGTCCTATTCCGATAAAAAAGAGACGTTCCATTAAGCTAAGTCTTTTTAAGATGCTTTTCTCTTTTAAATATAATAGTTTATACTTTGCTTTATAAACTGTTCTCATTCTCAGATATATCGCTTGATTACTGTCCTCAAAAAGAGAACGTACTAAGTGTGAGTAATTTACTCTGTAACATGGGAATACTAGTCTCCAGTGAAACTGCTAAAAACGTCAACTGACGATAACAATCACTCGATTTATGTCGACATCAAGCTTGTTAATGACCTCAACTTCTCGATGTATACAAGGTCTAAACCAAGTCACTCATAAATTATAATATGGCTGTTAGTGAAACCTGTTTTATAAAACTTGTAGTGCGCTCGAACTGCAATTGAGAAAATTGATATTAACACCATATACGTCTATACACTGACGGAAGATTATTTATTCAGTCTGATAAATAGCCGTCGTACTCTTTCTTCCGACGGGCCATCACTTGACAACGAGAATGTTACAAGGCAGGTAACTCTTCGAACCGAAGGATAGTTTGACTGTACTCGTTTAGTTTCGCTTCTTAAACAGGCCGCACATTTGGCACGTGACCTGGCCATCATCTCCATAGTCAACACCCACCTCGTCAGGTACATCTCTAAAATGCGATTCATTACAAATGGTGTTCTGAATGGCACCAGATATCTCAGAGTCTGCTTCGCTTTGCATTCTCTGAGCTGCAGCATACTCTACCTTATCCTCAAACGACATATTATCGTAACCTGAAAGTCTGTTTGCGATCTCAGTGATTTCTTGTTCTTCTTTAGTGGGTGGCCTCTTCGGAATGTCCCGTGGAATAGAAGCTAAGAGTTCGCAAAGGTCAATGGCGCAGGAATCCATGTGAATTGTTCGCCAGCCTTCCTTGTCAACATCCGTCTCTTCGATATCCTGAAAGCTTAGTAAGCCTGGTTTTTGTCGTCTTCTTTTGACGGTCATCTTGTCTGTTGATTCGCCATCTAAGTTTTCAAAAGTCACACGTTTCTGGGACTTTCTCTTCTTTTCAGGCGGACTCGACTGGAAATCGTCTGTTTCTTCTTTAGAGGAATCGCTATATGTAACGTCCCTGATATGGAAAAAAAAAAAAAAAAAAAAAAAAAAAAAAAAAAAAAAAAAAAAAAAAAAAAAAAAAAAAAAAAAAA